TTTTTTTGTTGTTGCAGTTTGGCTGGGGTCAGGTTCAAACCCGCCACCCTTGGTATATGGGGCCAGCGCCCTACGCACTGAGCCACAGGTACCTCCCACAATACACTATTATTAAAGACCTTATTTATCTATCTATCTATTTATTTTTGAGACAGTCTCACTTTGTCACCCTCTCTGGCATTATAGCTCATAGCAATCTCAAACTCTTGGGCTCAAGTGATTCTCTTGCCTCAGCCTCCTGAGAAGCTGGACTACAGGCACCTGCCACAACGCCTGGCTATTTTTAGAGACCAGGTCTCCCTCTGGCTCAGAACCTGTGAACTCAGGCGGTCCACCTGCCTTGGCCTCCCAGAATGCTGTGATTACAAATGTGAATGTGAAGGAAAATAATTATCTCTTGGGATTCTAGGTTTTTGTTTAGTTTTTATTGAGATGAAACATGCATAGTCATTAAAGTAGCTTGTTTTTCTTTTAAAAGTAGCTTATTTTTGAATGAAGTTTTCTGTCTTGTTACAGTTGTATAATCAACTTACTAAAGTGTTTAATCTGTTAAATATTATCATTTGCTACATGATGTTCTGGTCAACAGTGGATGGCGTATGTGATGGTGTTTCCATGAGAAGATAGTACTGTGTTTTTATTGCACCTTTTGTGTGTTTAGATATGTTTGGATACACAGTCAGCATTTTGTTTAAGTTGCTTGCATTATCTAGAACAAGACCTTGCTGTGTGGGTGTGCGGCCCAGAGCAGTAGGCTCTGCCTGAAGCCCAGGAGTGTAGCAGGCTGCCCTGTCCAGGTGTGTGAGTGCTACACACTGTGGGCATGAATGCACATGCTCATGTGTGCACCTGCAGCTCACCTCATCACAGATTCCTCAGGACTTATCCCCATCGTTAAGTGACACACAAGTGTATTAACAGACTGTTCATTGCGTTTGGGAACTCTCACACAAGGATGCTATGAAGATTGATGACTGTTTATGGATCCACTTATGGCCCCTACATATCTTCTGTAGTAATTCCTCAGCCTTAGGTAGCAAATGGGGCCAGTGCCGTACTCCTTTGAGTCACAGGCGCTGCCCTCTCCATTAATTCTGATTTCTCTTCCCTTCTTGCCTAGCTCAGATTCCCTGGCACCTTGTTTCCATATTCCTTTTGCAAACACCAGTTACTTCCTTGCCCTTCTTCCAAACATACCAACTTGAAAAAAAAAACAACGCTGACTTGGTTATTAAAGTAACCATTTAAATAAGATTTATGTTTATATGGGCTTAGCATCCGTAATCAAAAATTCAAAATCTGAAATGTTTTGTATGCTGACTTGATGCTGGTACAAGTGGAAAATTCCACACTGGATGGTGTGATGGGTCATAGTCAATGCAGGCACACAACACGGGCTTTATTCAGCTTCCCCAAGGGGAATGTGAAATTCCCTTCAGGCTATATGCATACCGTGTATGCAAAACATACGTTAGGTGTTCAGATGTCCTGTGATGCAAATCTCCCCAAATCTGAGAAAATCCTAAATTTAAAGCACTCGTGGTCCTGAGGCTTTTTGACATTCAGCCTGTGCTGACTTGCGTGAGATGGAGGACACTAGCGGTGCCAGTTGCCTTTGGATACCTTTGGTTCTTGGGTTGGATCTTAGTCTGTGCAGGATCTGGTGTGAAGGAGGGAGGTGGTGGTAAGACCAGGGCAGACTGCTGGGGAGAAGCTGGAGGACATGAATACAGAGACACAAGTAAAAACAGAAAAATCTGTGCGAAACATTGTGAGAAAGAGAAAAATTAATAACAAATTTACAAGGGGCTAGAAAAGTGGAAGCTACAGACCTAATATTGGAAAAATATTGGTAGATAAACTACAGCTGATTTTCTGATTTTCCTGATTTTCTTTCCTAAGTTAGCTTTGATGTGTTACTGTGTAGAAGTCCCAGGTGTGCCCTCTTTGCTCATTCTGCACTTGGGGCAGGTGTAGTGTCCAATGTGGCCAGTGCTACAGCTTGGCCCTTCCCTGAGCTGACGTGACCATAGAGTTGTGTTTGGAGGAGGAGGGGTGAGTAATAGCCAAAGATTAGTAGGTGATGTTCCAAACTGTTAAGTCTGCAGTAGTTGAAGGAAGATGTAACGTGTAGATCCATTTCCTGAAAGTAAATATTAGCTAACGTAATGATTCAATTGGGAGGTGGAATGGGTAATAACAGGAAATGAGTAGAAAATGCCCGAAGTGGGTAAATCTTTTTTTTTTTGAGACAGAGCCTCAAGCTGTTCCCCTGAGTAGAGTGCTATGGCTTCACTGCTCACAGCAACCTCCAACTCCTGGGCTCAAGAAAGTCTCCTGCCTCC